GACTGAAACTGCTACAAACTGTGAGCCAAAATAAACCTTCCTTCTTAGGATTGTGAGTGTCAGCTCCTGTTCCCAGCAAGGAGAAAAGTAATTAATACAGATTGCCTGGACAGAGATGACTCCTATGAAAAGGGAAGCAGCGCCAGATGGTGGAAGGTTTTGTGACATTCCTCATAAATTTATGAATTATTTCTAGAATATTTCATTTATTTTTATATTTATATTTTCAAGGTTGACTATGGATATCTGAAAACACAGAAAGCAAAACCTTGAATATAAGCTCTTAAAAACCCTTGGAGTTTCCTAAGTGATAAGACCAATTAAGATGAAAGAAGTGGACAACAAAGATGAAAAGAATGTCTTCTAACTCATAACAACCTTTCAACCACACCAAAGTTTATGTTTTGACATATATTTTAGGAAAAAACTTAGAAAACCTCAGGATAGGAATTAGTTGCCAGGGAAACAGAACTTGTGATTAGAGGATTGTAGTTTTTTGTCCTACCTTACTCCAACTTGACCTCTGAGAGGGGAGAGGGGCTGAGATTGACTTCTGTCACCAATGACCAATGATTTAATCAATTGTGCCTACATAAAAAAGCCTCTATAGACTGCCAAAAGAACTTTCCAAGTTGGTAAACTCAGAAGTTAACTGGAAAGTGGCACATAAGGAGGCATGGAAGCTCAGTGTGCCTTACCACACAACTTGTCCTATGGTCTCTTCCATCTGGCTGATTCGGAGTTGTATTTTTTTTTTTTTTTTTTTTTTTGGTTTTTCTCCGGTACCGGGAACTGAACTCACGACCTTGCACTTGCCAGGCAGGTGCTTTTGCCGCTGAGCTAAATCCCCAGCCCCCTTTTTTTTTTTTTTTTTTTTTTTTGTATTTTTTTAATTATAACCAGCAATCTCCTAAGTAAACTTTCCTTGAGTTCTATGAGCCATTCTAGGGGTAGCAGAAACCTCTGCTTTACAGCCAACTAGAAATACCAATGAAAACATGAACATGAAATTTATGCCTGAAGTGGGAGGGGGCAGTCTTGTGGGACTGAACGTTTAACCTGAGGAGGTCTATGATAACTCTAGGTAGAGTTATGATGAATTGTAAGGCACCCAGTTGCTATCTAGAAAACTGCTTGGTGTGGGAAAAGCCTCCATACATCTGGTGTCAGAAATGTGTTAGTATACAGAAGATATTTTTTCCACACAATAGATGAAGTATTACCGACATGATTGATTTGTGTAGCGTATTGTCTAAAACAAACAAACAAAAAAGTGATCTTGTTTCAAAAGTGGAAACATCACTTTTTTCTGATGTGTATTTTTCATAGGCAACATACATGCAAAGTTCTCAACTGAAAAATAGAAATAAATTTGAAAAATAAAAATTTCTATTGCCTTTCTAGTGTTAACCATTTGATAGGTTCTGCTATCATTTATTTTGTATATCCCCTATAATGATCCAATTAATATTTCAATTTAACATATATTGTTAATTACATAAGTAAGGCTCCAGGAGGGTTTTGTAGTATACACAAAGAATATACTTGACTCTTCTAATTAAGTATATATTGTATAATGATAGAGACTGTTCAGAAAACACATCACTCAATGTAATCATAAAGGAAGGACAAGACACTTATTAGTGCTCAGAGTGGACAGGCTTTAGCTGTAACTGGAAAGAAAAGGAAAAGCTATGTGAAGCTCCTGAAATTTGTTGTCCTGTAAGATGACAACCTCATCTAGAGACTGTAATTTTTCATGCACAATATTTAGCATTCAAAGATTACCACAAACATTACAGTCAGAGACATCAGTATTAACCCATGCATACATTATTCACACAAAAAAACCACGTAGTTCAAAGGAGCAAGAACATATGTCTATACATGGATTGTACACAGTACATACGTGTACTAATGAGCCCTGTTCTCCAAGATGACCTAGAAGCAATGATACTCCAGTTTCAACAATCATACCCAGATCTTGGTTTCTAAGTACCACTCTCCAAGTTAAAGTAACCTTTGCTATTTTGAGAAACAGTTGATGCTAAGGCTAAGGCTGGAAAAACACAAGATGAACCTGGATCATCTTGTAGTACAATTCAAAAAACAAAAGGATAAAGGCATGTCAAAGGAACACAAGAGCCAACCGGCAAGAGTTTCTGTGGTCAAGTAAATATACCTGAATCCATATGGAAGAGATAAATCTTTCTTATGGAAGAACTCCAATTATATATTTAGTTTCTAACCACCTACAGTATGTACACTCCATACCTTCAGAGAAGACGGGATGGTTCACTTGAAATGAGAGTAGAAACGGAAAAATAGTAACTACCATGGAGAAATATTGCAAAAACTATCTTACCTAGAGGTTCTCACCCTCTGCACATTGATATCTGGTCCAGATAATTAGTTGCTGTGGGAAGCTGTCCCGTAGATTTATAGGACGTTTAGTACCCTCCCTGGCCTCGACCCAGATCAGGAGCAACCCTCCCTTCCTCAGTTATGGCAACCAAAAACATCTCCAGATGCTGCCAAACCCCGATTATAAGCCTCTTATTTGTAGGTCCAGAGTCTTCTGTTCTATGTTACTGATGACCCTTTAAGATTTCCTGATGCCATCCACCCCTCAGGCTGCTGAGTCCTGCTTGATAAGTGGCCAAGGTACCATCTTATGTTGTTGGCTTTCTCATTTTTGCTGTCAGACAGGCTGAATAGTGCAAGAGTGGAAGAGTTGATGCTCTGTAAGGGAAGCTCATCCAAAGTGAGAGGGGAATCTGGAAAAAAGTCTTTTTCTTCTCTGCAGCCCATGGTGAAGTGCCATAGTTTATACTGCTTACACTCTATGTTCAGTGAGACTAAGCAAACTGTTATGCCTCTTTAGAAGCTGCATGTCTCAGTAATACCTTCTGATTTGCTCTCTTACTTCACCTTCCATTTACCCTCAACCATCCTTTTCTGGAAGTATAATCACTCTGGTAATGCCTAGCAATAGACATTTCTTTTATGCTGCTTTATCAGGAATCCAAACTAAGGCCATTATCAAAGTGGAGATATCTGGTAGGCAAAGAATGAGTCTGGAGTTCAGAGAAGAGTTCTATGTTGAGGACATAGACTTTACAGTCATAAATTTGAAGACCAGATGAAATCAACAAGGGAATGAACATGGAATGAGATTGGAAACAGCAAGTGTATGAAAAAATGTTCATCATTGGTCACTTCAGAGATGCAAATTAAAACAACACTGAGATTCCATCTCATTCCAGAAAGAATGGCTATCATCAAGAAATCAACCAATAACAAACTCTGAAGGGACTGTGGGAAAAAAGGAACACTTCTCCACTGTTGGTGAGAGTGTGGACTGACGCAGCCACTGTGGAAATCAGTGTGGAGACTCCTCAAAAAACTAGGATTGGAGGTTCCATTCAACCTATTCCCCTTCTGGGTATCCTCCCAGAATTAAAAACAACATACCACAATGATATATGTGCACTCATGTTTATAGCAGCACAATTTATATGTCCATCAACTGAGGAATGGATAAAAAAGATGTGGTCTTTTTATACAATGGAGTACTCCTCAGCCATAAAGGATAAACTGGAGACTTTATAGGTAAATGGATGCACTCAACACCATACTCATAAGTGAAATAAATCAGACTCACATGTGTAAACATTGTCTTATCTCCCTAGTGTGAGAAGCTGAAAAGGAAACAAGATAGAAGCTGTACAATAGATATTGTAAAATGGGAAGAAACTTCAACAGGAAAGGGGAACTCGGATGGGGGAATGGAGAAAAGAAGGAAAGGAAATGAGAGTGGAACACTGTGTCTTCAGGCACTTCATGAAATCCAGAAAGATTATGAATTGTTCTAGAAGCCAAAATAAAATGCAACAATTATGCAAAATACTACTGACAGCTAAATAAGAAATGAGAATTGGAATCACAAACGGTTAGAACCTTGGCTAGAATGCTACATGGAGAATTTGTAATGTTACCCTAATTACTAGTATAATTACTAGTATAATTACCCTAATTCCTAGTGTAACTTGTATTCTTCCTGATCTATTTGGCTAGAATTAAAAAAAAAAAAAAAAAAAAATCTTCACAAGATAGCTTTTGGGTTAGAATACAGAAATTCATTTTTTTCTTTTTGTTAATTTCCAACCTAGTCTTTATTTCCTTTTTAATTTGGGTTTAATATCATCACTCTACTTAAGACGGAAGTTTAGGTAATTGTGAATTTTTTTCCCTATAGGTATTGTATTGCTATAAATTTTTCTGAGTGGTACTTTAGTTGCATCTCATTCCTGTTAATAATATTTTTCCTTAGGTTGGAGCTTATAGCATAATTGAGCAGAAGGTAGAAAATTCCCATGTATTCCACACCGCTACATCTTATCAACCCCTGCCATCACTGATCTTTCAGGTGTCTTCATGGTTTTGTCTATTCCAGATTGTCATATAGTTGCAATCACATACAGTAAACCTTTCAGATTGCTTTTCATAGGATTTATGTGTCTTTGGGTTATGGCTTGATAGCTGATTTCTTTTTTAGCATTAAATAACATTTCAGTGTCTAGAATTACTAGTTTACCCATTCACCTACTGAAAGACATTACAGTTGCTTCTAAATTTTGGCGATTATAAATAGAGCTGCTATAACATCCGTGTTCAAGTTTTGTGTGAATGTAAGTTTTCAACTCTTGGATAAACACCAAGGAGTACAACTGCCCGATCATATACTAGAGTATTTTAGTTTTCTAAGAAACTGCTAAATTGTCTCCCATATGTAGCAGATGCTTGAGAGGAATACTCCAAGAAGTGTCAGGTGGTTGCAGTCCCAAATGAATGAATCTGGAAGAAGGATGAGAATTTCTAAAGAGACAGTTGTGTGAAAAGCTATTAATCCATACCTTTGCAGTACCAATATTGTTGTAAAGTGTATGTGTATGGTGTGGTATAGGGAGCAGGGAAACCGAAGTAACAAATGGCAGAGGTTGAGAGAGGCCAAATCATAGAAGGCCATGCTAGTTTTATTAACGTATAGCGCATGAAGTATAAGTTTAGAATTTAAAATTACAAAGGTTTTCTACAAATCAATAAGAAAATACAAATAACCTATATTAATCAGGACAGAAACCAAATCAAATTATCTTAAAACAAGAAAGGGACTTTATTGGCTCACAAAACTTTAAAGTCCAGAGGTAGGGCAGGCTTTAGGCACAGCTGGATCAAGGGCCTCCAGGAAAATGATATTAGAACTTAGTTCTCTTTCCATTTCTGCTAGCCTCCGAGTTTCCCCACAGACAGACTTTCTCCGTATGGTACAAGTTCAGGCTTACATCATCCTTGCTTCCTGGGATCTCCATAAAACCTTGTTTCCAGTAGTTCTAGCAGTTCTGTTGAGGGCTCTCCTTAGTAGCCTGGCTTAAATTACATGTCCATTCTTAATTGCTGTGGCTAGGGAGCTATGAGACTCAGGAGGCCAAGCCTGTTTATGTGCTCACCTAAGCCACATGGAATAGGTTTACCACAATAAATAAGGGTTTTGTTACCAGAAAACAGGGAAAGAGATGATGAACAAACAAAAGGAACAAATATCCACACAACCCCACAGAAAAGTAGGTAGAAGATACAATGTTAAAACTATAAATGACCAATAAATGTATGACCCAACTTCACTATTTATCAGGGAAATGCAAAACAAGGTAAGGATTCTCTCTCTCTTTTGTCCAACAGATAGAAACTATCAAGTGTAGGTAAGGCTATATGGGGAAATAAGCACTTTCCATACAGTTGGTGAAAATATAAAAGTTACGAAAATATTTTGGAAGGCTAAGGTAGGTCTGTCAAGATGGCAAACCTTTCAACCCAACAATCCACTTTATAGGACTCCAACTTAAAGAAACATTCACTCATATGCACAAAGACATCTGAGTAAGATGTTTACTTTGGCAATATAACAGCACAAGAAAAATGGGTAATAAATAATGTTATCTTCATAGTATTTAATCCCATTCAAACATTAAAGACTTCCTTATCTTTGAGACAAAAAAGCAATTCCTATATATGATCCTATTTATGTAAAAATAGTGTTTATAAGCTATGTCTATTCATATGGAAATGTATGGAAAGGGTAGCGGAAAGATATATACTAAACTGTGGAAAGTGGAATGTGATTGGAAGCCCTGGAAAAATGGTCTTGGTTCTTACACTTGGGTACCAATTAAATTTTATATAATGAGAGGGTAGTAATTTATACTTCCACAATTAAAGAAAAATGGATGAAAGCAATTCACAAAGGAAGTGAAACTGGTCAATATACATGAAAAAGTGTTCCTCCCCACTAATTAAAGGAAGGCACAACGAAGCGAAAGATATTCTATCAAAAGGGCAAAAATTTTCAAGGATGCAGTGTTGGTGAGACTGTAGGTAAGCAGGCATTTTTACTGTTAATGGAGATATAAACTGGTAATCTTTTTCACGGTACTTCTCAAAATATCAGATGTGCATTCTCTAACCAATAAATCCATTTCTAGCTATTTATATTGCAGAAATACCCACATAAGTAGCAAGATGTATGTACAGGGATGCTAAGTAGACTCTATCTGTATCCATAAAGAACTTAATCTGCCAAGATGGGGTTGGTTAAATAAATTAGTGTATACTCAATAATGTGAGAGGAGGGGAGGCAAGTTTTAGCACAGTACCTGTAAAATGGGGTATGTACCTACCTCATACTGTTGCCAAGGATTAAGAATTAATCAGTGGTAAAGCACTTCAACTGGTAGCTTATACACAAGAACCATAAGTGTTAGCCATTGTTGTTGTTTTTTTTTTTTTTGCTTAAACATGTGTATGCCTAAATCTAGAAGAACAAACCATGGTACCATCACTTCTGCGTACGGTTATAAAAGAAAATGTCCTTTCCATTTTACATTTCTGTACTGTAAAAATTCAGAGAAGCATGTTTAATTCAGATGAGCATGCTAACCATAGAACATATAAATGTAGTATTTATCAACTAAGATTTAATAGACATTACTCAACATAGTGAAAAAGTATGTCTCTGGAGTCCAGAAAACTAGATTTGATTTTTAGCTCTTACTGGTCGCATGCAGGTCTCTGAATCTTGATTTCCTAGTCTACAAATAGAAGTAATACGGGTAGTGACTAATTCAATGCTTAGCATGAATTAGATTCCAATATGTGTAACCTTCCCCTCCAAACAAATGATCAAATGTCAAATAAGTGTCAGTGCGAAGAGCATAACTTCCCAGAAAACCAGAAGAAAATTTAACAGCAACTAACAAATGCTCAGTGGCTGCTGAATAAGTCACCAGCAGTCTGCATGCCCTAACACAAGTCTCATTTGCTATCCAGAGTCCTGGTTAGGCCACTGCCTAGCAACTGCCACTTCACCACTTCATCAGAAGCTAGGCATCCCGCAAATTACCACGTTTACCTGTGTGGGTATATACCAATGTCTGGATGATATAATTCACTGAACCGTTATTTTGAACCAACTTGTCCAGTGGGACTCAAGCTTAACTGGAGATGGTGAGCACACATCTCATCACTTCCTTTCCCCATGTGCCACCATCCAGTTATTTTTGGTCCAGTCCTCTTTCCCCAAAGCCTTGCCTTAGCCTCAGAATCCTTTCTGAACAATGCACAGGTATCAGAGCTGGCAAGACAAAAATCGTATTTGTCAACTCTAATGCTACCTTTCTGTGCTCTCACATTACCAAGTATCTTTGGCATTTATGGCAAATCTACCACAGGGAAACTTCCTTGTATATGGGCAATATATAAGATATTTAAAAGCATAAAATTTCCAGCCTGAAAGACCCACTCCCTTCTTACCTACTCTGATACAAGAACTCTGTCATCCCAGCAGTCTTCCAAATATACTACCTCAAAACCTACTTGGAAAAAAGCCAGTTATAAATAAATAGATCAATCAACCCAAGATCATTTTACCTTAAGAGCTGAGGAGTTTACAGCTTTATTGGACAGTGACTTGTTTCCTCTCAGCCACAAAGAGAAAAAGACCCAAACAAAAGTCCCTATAGTTTCTTGTATAACTTAAAATACATTATATCGTTACTACATATTTATACGTCAATAAATCTTAATCTATAAAGCACGTTTCTTGTAACTGTTATCAGAAAATCTATAAACAAGCTCCATTCTGCCTCACTTCTCTACCAGCTGGCCCAGCATTACTATGCTTTTTAATAGGCTCATGCAAATCTCACCTTCCATTTTAAAATCTGATCCAAACACCAGATAGAACCCAAATATCTGGAACTACTAAGTATTTGTATTCACATGGATCATTTTCCATACTGTGATGCCCATTTTAAAAAAGCCTTTTCTCTTACTCAATATTTTAACTTCCCGAGTTTTCCACGAAACAGTAGAACCACAGTACTTGGGATTCTCAGCCAAGGAGTATATAATCCTACTACTACAACGTATTACTTTAATACATTTTTAAAATGTGTTAAGACGAAAGTTAAAAAAAATAGTTCAATCAATTCTGATAGTTAACAAACTAGCTGTTAATAGCCTAGTTCCTTATTTTTAAAGTAGAACAGTCCATTCAACATGTAGGTACAACCTCAATGCTACTAGAGATTGCTCCGTTTTTTAAAAAAAGATTCATACACTGCCAAACTGTGATAAAGTTTATCTTGGACTCACCTCGAAGAAAGCTGGAGAGCCAGCTAGCTCTTGGAACTGAGTCTTCCTTTCCCTCCAAATATAACACCCTGGTGAGAGAACTATGGCTCTGCGAATCTCGGCGGTGACCTCCTCTGGGAATGCTGACAGGGAAAAGAGGCTAACTACATAAAACAGCTTTGTACCAAACCCCCTAGGATTTACAGTGGAAGAAAGACCTACCCACTTATGGTAGGATTACAGTACCTAGCACAGTGCCTTGTCGGTAGAAAGTGTTTAATAAACGCATGACTATTTTTAGCCTATTCAACCCTTCTGTGCCAAAAGAATAAAAAGAGCAAATCTGATACTTGTTGCCCACCTGTCAGGGAATATTCTGTCAGCAACAAAGATAAAGGCAAAATAAGAATGCATTAGATCTTGAATCTCTTCTAAAAGCCAAAACAGACCATTACCTTCTGTTTATATTTGCTTTTCAACACTGCCATTCACTGCAAATTCTTAGTGTTCTAATTTCTACCTTCAGCTTTATAATTGCTTATTCTTTAAACTCTTTTTAATGACACATGGGAAAACATTTTCATTAAGAAGCCCCCAGATTAAACCAAATGAGTTTTTTATTTTTTCCTGTAGGCAATAACTGCAGTTAAACTGATATACTTCAGTGGTTAAGTCAATTTGTGTATCTCCCAATCTAAATGTTCTGCTCACTTTTTGAAGTTTTATCACCAAAACTTATCTGAAATCTTAAGGCTCATTTATTTTGAGGCTTTTAGCCATCTTTTAGCTTCTATTTTCTGAAATATATATTTAAATTAGATAAAAGGAAACAGGACAGTAAGTTTTTAAAAGATGGTTTTAAAATGGTTTAAGATGGTTTCCAGACTGTATAATTCCTATGTTGCCTTTTAAAGGAGAAGGGAATGTAACCTTACAGAGAACATTTCAATGATCAACACAGAAATAAGTTATCTGTCTAAAAAAGGAAACTTTTAAGAAAGGAACAAAGAACCAAGTAGTTCATTATTTGGAAAACAAAATATAAACATTACATGAAAATTTAAGCATTAATACCTGAATTAAGTTTAAAATTTCAGTTTCTAGGCAGGCATAACACCATTTCTTTCAAGATAAAATAATCATGGTGAGTGAAGATTTTTTAGTATTTCCCAGTAGATTTTCTGAGAGTCGACAGGGGAAAACTATTCTGTATTCTGTATCACTTCATGTTTTAAATTTTGTCTTCATTTCTGAAGAAAAAGACCTGAGTGCTGATTTTTTATAATTTCTTAAACTTTCACAACATTCAGAAGTTTTTCTGCATTATGTCTTCTCTGATGTCTAAAAAGATTTGAGCTTTGACTATAGGATTTCCCACACTGAACACATTCGTAAGGTTTCTCCCCAGTATGGATTCTCTGATGATTAATAAGCCCAGAATTCTGGCTAAAAGCTTTCCCACATTCAAGACATTTGTAAGGTTTTTCTCCAGTATGTACTCTCTGGTGTTGTACAAGGATGGAACTTCTGCTGAATGCTTTCCCACACTCAACACATCCATAAGGTTTCTCCCCACTGTGGATTCTTTGATGAAGAATAAGGGCAGAGCCCTGACTGAAGTGTTTTCCACATTCATCACATATATGTTGTTTCTTTCGAGAGGGATTTCTCTTTCTTTCAAACCTGCCCTTTGGGAAACAGGTTTCTCCATATTTAAAAATTTGAGGAACACCTATATTGAGAGTCCCAGGAACTTCATGAGATTCTACTGCCGATGCAATCTCTTGCTTTGGAGCTAGCGCTCCATTTTCAGTCCTAGCATCATCATCTGAAACAGAAAATGTAAGTATCACTCATTTCCTATTTGGGGAGAAAACATGAAAAAAAATTTTAATGAACTATACATAAACAGCTTGTACACATCTATACATAGCACTCTGAAAACTACTGTTAAAAGTTGCCTTCTCCCAAAAAAGAAAAAAATGAAATGACTGATTATGAGATTAATAAGGCACAATAACTTAAAAGGTTGTATCTAAGTAAAACACAGTCAAGAGGGTTATAAATGGTAGAGTCTAAAAACTGTTAGAGACAGTCAAAGGTGATATGGTAAGCCAGGCATGGTGGCGCATGCCTGTAATCCCAGCAGTCGGAAGACTGAGGCAGGAGGATCACTGTGAGTTTGAGGCCAGCCTGGGCTACACAGTGAGCTCAAGGCCAGCCTGAACTGCATAGTGAGACCCTGTCTCAAAAAGACAAAAAAAAAGGTGATATGGTGAGGTCTAGATAAAACTATTAGGAAAACAATGGTCACTAGAAAATCATTATGTTCTTTTCCTTTGAGAAGAAATTACATCAAAACACAAAGGTGTAAAATAATAAGAAATCTGCCAGTAACTATTTCTGAAAATGCACAAAACAAGGCATGTGACAGCCAAGATTTGACTAAAAGCAGAACCCAGGAATCTGAATATGAAGGGGGTAAAGATAACCTGAGGGGATCAAGTGTTCAATGAAGACATGACAATTAAAAATTCAGTATATCCTTAATGAACAAAAGGTTTACTATTAAAAAAAGCTTGTCCTTGGTATTTGTCATGATACTTAGAAAAACTGCTACTTCTAGGCCTAACTGAGATGTATTCAGTGAAAGAAAAGCCTCAATTATCAACAAGAAGTACCATTACCCATCTGTAGGTGGAACTAAGCACAAGTCTCATTTAAGACTTCTAAGAAACCTCAAGCCTTAAAAAGCAGAGGTAAGGGTAATAACACAGTGAGCACTAGCACTCAAAGTGGTCAAGGGTAAATGATTTGACAAAGGAACCAAGTCAGGAGAAAAGGCAGAGGAAGAAAGGGAAGCGGGTAAGGAAGAGAGAGGACAGATTAAAGGGTCAGAAGTTAGGGAGGCCTGGAGACATGAACAGAGAAGTGATTATGAAGGTTATACAGAGACAAATGGCACAAAAAGAAATGGAAGTTCCCAAATGCAGAAGGACTAGAGTACTGGAATGGGGCTATTAAAAACAGGTAAAAATCATTCTAAATTTCAAAAAAGGAGACGTTTTCTACCCAAGAAAATATCACCTCCAAAGACCAATGACTGTAGTTCTCAAGCTTTTTTCAAAGAAGAATCCCCTAGAAAACATACACTGCAGATAATCAGCAGATTTCAGCTGCACCCTGGAGAGATTTGCTGGCAATGTCCCCTTGCAAGGGAAGAAAACCTGCTCAGACCTTATTCTGTCTAAGCAAACCAGCATTATCTCCAATTGCTTCAAAGAATGATTCCCAAAGTGGTCTCAAACAAAATTTCACTTAAATTCTAAGATGAAATCCAGCAGTTTTAGGAACACACTGGGTTTGTATCAGAGTACAGATGTACACATATGCCTTTAATTGCCAATATACTGGGAATCCATACAGCAACTGAATTACTTTAATTATGAGATTTTTAAAAACATTATTCTGCATTCAAGCATTATTATAACTAAAGAGCAGCTTATTTTTGCATAAATATTTAGAGAAAGTACAGCAAAAATCATTTCTACAAAAACTCTTAGAAAAAAATTACCAGGTTGGATCTGAAGGAACAAAACAGAAGTAACTAAAAAGTTAGAAAGACTTTAGTATACCATAAACAAAAAGATTAGAGGCAAGCCTGAAATTCTGGTATTTTGGAGGCTGAGGCAGGAGGATTACAAGGTTAAGCCCAGCCTGGGAAATTTAATGCTTTAGCAAGACTATCTCAAAGACAAAAAATAAAAAGGGGGCCAAGGATGTAACCTGGTGCAAAGGCCCTGGGTTCAATCTCCAGTACCATAAGGAAGAAAGCAAAAATTAATAAAGATAATAAATAAATAAATAAATAAATAAAAGGCTTCAGGTAAGCTTACTGTACCAATAAGATTAAAAAGGAGACTGAAACATTAGGATGTAAAACAGATGATAAATGGGTAATACTGTCTACAATACAGAGACCTGCACTATAGGCTAGAGTAAGAACTGGTAGCCTGACATGGACAAGTACGGATATTCAGGAAACAAGCTGAAAGAGAAGAAAAGGCTGAAGATGTTAATGTGAAGAGTAAAAAATCTGATATCAGCAAATCAACTGTTATCAGAAAAAAAATCAAGATCTTTAGCAATGGTGGTGAACTTATGCCAGGCATACTGCAGTGGGCACATAGAGCTCTCTCTGTCAGCATGTGAGCCAAGTCATCCCAGACCTTGAAAATGGACAGCTGAAATATTTTCCAAATCTAAAAATGCATTTATAAAACTACATTTGTAGACAATACTACAAGCCAACAGAAAATCTGTAAAGAATTTTCTAACACTGTCGCAGCTGCAAAGGAGAATTCTGACAAATTACCAGGGTGCACACAACAGCAAAGATTATATTAACTGTGCAAAAGCATGCCAAATGCAAACTTATACGTTTCGTTTTGTTTTTTTTTTTTTTTTTTGGTTTTTCTCCGGCACCGGGAACCGAACTCACGACCTTGCGCTTGCCAGGCAGGCGCTTTGCCACTGAGCTAAATCCCCAGCCCCAAACTTATACTTTTCAATAAAAAAATGTCTGTAGCATCAAAAGCTCTGTTATTAGGTTTTTAAGACAAAAGATGTTAGTGTGAGTTGTTTTTTCTAAAAATCCTCAGCAATCAGGATTAATTGCAGTGATGGCCCTCTATGATAAATAAGTAGGTTCTGAGTTGCAGTTTGGGCACTCGGTCTCTAAAAGGTTCACCATCACTGTCTTATAGTATGTCTGGGGCATCCGGATAAGTGACACCTCCTACCCACTCCACAAGAACAAGCTAAGAGCTCTGGGAAAAGGCCCATATTCCAGTCTAGAATTTTGGTCCTCACCACAGTGCCTTAGGGAATGGAGCTCCCAGGATGCCCATTTCAACTGGTTCTCCACAGCATCAAGCTCAGAGCTTGGTAATCCCCGAGCTTCTTCTTGAGAGACAATCTCTTCTACTAGCACTTCCCGTTTCCGTCGAGGGAGAGAAACCTGGAAATAATTAAGATTTTGGTTCAGCTGAGAAAGTATACAGGAGAAACCACATGGAGAGGCCTAGACAGCAAAGTAGTACAGATAATGGAGTGGTCGGGGAATGGGGGAGAAGGCATAAATATGCATAATTTTTTTTTTTTTTTTTTGGTTTTTCCCCGGTACCGGGAACCAAACTCACAACCTTGCGCTTGCCAGGCAGGCGCTTTTGCCGCTGAGCTAAATCCCCAGCCCCAAATATGCATAATTTTAACATAGTTGGGTGGAAATTAATATAGCAGCTCTGCCTACAGCTATGTCAGTAGTTCTAACGCAAAAAAGTGACACAAGCAGACTCACTGGCTGCCCAGGGTCATCCAGCTCACTCTCCAAATCTTCCAGCACTGTTACTGCTTCCTCTCCATTTTCTGGATGATGCTCTCGGACCCAAGTCTGCAGCTCCTTGGGTAGGATGGCAACAAACTGTTCCAGCACTACCAGTTCCAAGATTTGTTCCTTTGTGTGTGTCTCTGGCCTGAGCCACAGTCGGCAAAGTTCTCGAAGCTGGCTCACAGCCTCACGGGGTCCTGGTGAATCCTGGTATCCAAACTGCCTGAATCGCTGTCGGAAAACCTCTGGGTCAGGGAGATGGTTCCATGTGATACTTGATCCCTCTTCACCATCAGGATCCTCCTCCAACTTTACTCTCAGTATTTTTTCTTCTTCGTCCGGAGTTGGGATGATAAGTATTGAATCTTCTTCCACGGACTGTGCAGACATTCTGATATATACTTCAGGCAAAGACGAGGAAGAATGTAAGCCTCAGGGAAACACCTGGTGTTTGTTCGTTACAGGTACTCCTGAGGTAGAGAAAATTTAAAAAATAAATGATTAAATATCTTCCTAAAACTATGGACCTAAATTGATGAGGGAAAACATATTTGCTCTATTTACTGGATTAAAAATTCCAAGCAATATCATAAACCAGAACTGGCAAACTATAGCTCATAGCCAAATCTAGCCGGCTGCCTATTTTTGTACAAAGTTGGAACAAAAATAGTATATACATTGTAAAGTGGTTAAAAAATTTTGACATGTGAAAACATGAAATTAAAATTTCTGTGTCCATAAATCATTTAATTCATTCACAGTTCATGCTACAATGGCAATGTTGGCAGAGTTGAATAGCTTCAACAGAAATCATATTTAAAACTTAGTATTTACTATCTGGCTCTGTATAGAAAAAAACCTGCCATCTATGACCTATAAAGTCAACAAATCCTACTTCCATAATCCAAAGAATCCAAGTAAGAACTGTACCTCAGTGTTTTTAAACATGCTTAACCTTGGAACACATTATTTGCAATTCAGGACTGGTGTTCCTCTGATATACTTAAGTCAACTTAAAAGTTAACTGCCTCTTTAAAAAACAATACAGTGTACTTCACCAAGGACCTTGCATACACAGTGTACCACTGAGCTACATCCCTAGCCCTAGCTGCTTTTTTATTATCTGCTTTAAGATTCTTTTTTCATAGAATGTTTTTTAAAATGCTAAAAAAGCTGGGCATGGTGGCACATACCTTTAATTCTAGCTACTTGGGAAGCTGAGACAAGAGGATAGCAAGTGTGAGGCCTGCCTTGGGGTGGAGGAGCTGGGGATGAGGTCTGTGACAGACAGTTTGCCTACTGTGCTACAGGACTTGAGTTCAATCTCTAGGATTAAAAAAATAATTAAATATTAAAATGTTTAAGAGCTCCTGAGACAAAATATGAAAAAAAATGTTCACTTGCCCAGTAAAATATCATATAATATTGGAAAAAAGTAAAATATTCTGCATAATAATATGCAAATATTGTCACCCATCGCAACATAATTTAAATTTGACAGAAATTAATATTAATGACAACAAACTTTATTAAGAAAAAGGACTCTCACAATCATTCTAACTTCTTGCAGTATCCCAGTCTTGTCCTTACATCAGAAGACATTAACTTTTCCCAGCTTTGACTTGAATGGAAATCTTTGTGCTATTTTCCTATCGTTTCCTTAGTATTTACATAGTCACACCACACGCACTAAGAATGAGCCATGCAAACACTCTATATACACTTATTCAGAGCCCAGAGAACCTGCAAAAGAGTAACTTAAGACAACTTACTGTAAACAGTCAAGGTGAAAATTAGTAATCACAAACCTCCACATCAGACAGCTAATATACAGGGGTTTAATTAAATACTCTGGAGTGCGGTGGCCTTAAAAACAGGATCTAGCCACTAACCCTACTGAACCAAATGGTTCCATAATATCTTCTTAGGTTACACGGCACACTGGTCGTGGTACGTGGAATGCCAGGAGGGCCCCGAGAACGGGTAGATGCCTGGTTTAAGGTGATTTCCGGCCTCATTCCTGTAGAGTACTGCTGCGTCCCTCATCTCTGCCCTGATGTACAGCCCTCCTTCCCAGCATTCATGGCAGCCGACTTCAGATGACCAGAGGCCACCCTCCCAAAAGTGTCTAAACTACATTTCCGCCGGCGGCCCGCTTGGACTACAAGTCCCAGCAGCCTCCGCGCAAGGCCCGCCCAGTTCCCACCGCCCACCGAGATGCCTCCCAGAACCCTTCGCGAGACGCCAGGGCCTCAAAATAGAACAAAACCGGCAGTGGGGGAGGGGGAAGACGAGGGTCGCGGCCCATCTAGGGATGGAGAACACTTTGCTGATGCTGAAGACTCGAAAAGGCCTCCCACCGACCCCTTCCTGCCCCTCAACTATAGGGCGCGAAGACCGCGGCCTTTCCTCCTTGCCCCCCAGGAAGCCAAGAAAGGACCCCACCAAGTTTCCTCGCCAACTCCTGCTGAGGAGTCCGAAAACCCAAACTCCGAGTCCCCCTCTTCCTCCTACCCTTCCCCCAATTCCGGCGCAAACCTCTGGCTCAGAAAGCAGCAGCTTCGCTGTCCAAGACAGACGCAGAAACGCCGCTCACAAGCCGCTTCCCAGAAGCCCCCAGCGCGGACTGCTTCCGGTCTGCAGGCCCGAGGAGGCGGAGAGAGGCAAAGCCCACGTTGCCATGGGGATGCGCTCCACGCGGGGGAGGGGCGGCCTGATGACAATGACCACATTGAGGCTGCGCTTGGCCTCGCGCCTCCCTATTTGAATAGCCCAGCGTTCTCTTTTCAGTTGAAAAGAGAGAAAGCTGCCATTGGAATAGTCTTTACATTTCCCCAATCCTTTCAGATGTATTATCTCACGTGATCCTCACAGTAACCCTCTGAAAGTAGTAATAAAAGTGAATATTTATGAAAACTTACTATATTGTGCCAGGCACAATAGTGCTTTGGATGTATTGTTACTCTTTTTTTCACAAATCTTATAGGAACTTTAATTATGTCCATCCACAGCTGAGACCATTGAGGCACAGTAAAATAAATAAATTTCCAAGAGCTCAGAACACTCATATGGAGAGCAAGTTTTGATATCAAGACATGGCTCAAACCGTTGATTCTTCCTGGCTCTCTGCAGCGGTAGCACAAAGCTTTACTGTGACCAATATACCAGAGAAACAAGATGAGACATGTTAAGAGTTTTCATAATGATGTTGCAGTGTATTTTCAGAATGCATGATCATCTAACTTCAGGCTGGGCTTCTTAGAGCATAAAGCTGCTGCAGACATAATCATTTAAAAATTTAAATCAGACCACTTCATTCCTGTAACTGAGGGCCTCCCATAGATCCCAACTACCTTATGTATGACATAAAAATTCCTTACACTGACCTGCAAGGTCCCCTTCTCTAATCATGGCTTTTAGGTTCATTGTGGCCTACAGATTCGGTCTCACTGCTGGCCTTTCTTCTCGGAAGCCTACCCACTCTACAACAGTATTAGAAGAGATCTCATTCATTTATTTATTTACCTGGTTTTTATTTTGCTTTGTCTGTAAGTCACAAGAGGGTAAGGACTTTATCTGTCCAGTTCACCACATATCCCCATCTAGTCCCAAGATGCTGACTGCTTGGTACATATAAAACTCAGTAAATTTTTGTTGAATAAGTAAATGAATTGTGGGCTGATCACATTGCTGTCTTTGCTAGGTCACATGACAGGCATCGGAAAGTATGTGTGCACAAAAGAGCCTTGTTGTGTAAGGGCTTGTACTCAGCAGTGTAGGTCCAGCCTTCCAGAAGCAGCTTCAGTTCCTGCCTTCAGCTCTGTTTCATTCAGGAGAGTACCCTCTGCAAACTGCCTTGAGCCTCTGATGAATTAATGAGAAAACAAGTGAGCAGCTGATGGTATGGTGCTACTTTTCACTCCAACCAGATCCTGTCTTCTATCATCCCTCCTAATGCTTTTCTTTCTTCATTTTAGAAGACTGCAGAAATCTAGGCTTTTTACTCTCCTACCTGGCTACTCTTCCCACCCTTTCCCTCCCAAAGGCTAGCTCAGGCTCCCAAAGGCTAACTCAATTATGTTTTTAATAAACATAAAAAAACTCAAAGGAGTGAAAAATGTGAAATTTTACAGAGCCCTTTGCCTGTGATTCCTGTGATCTATGCTTCCTGATCACAGGAAGCTTTTCTATAACAGTAAATGCAAATGGCAAAGAATTTTTCCTAAATTAGCCTTTACAAGGCAGGGACCAACAGCACCCACTCTGAAATACCATCCTCTAAGCCTTACTCTGTGGACTTTTTCCTAACATATCGTGCTTGCTGCTGCCTTAAAGATAGAGTCAAAATACATCACCTTCTTCCTCTGGGCAGCCTGTGTGTGGAGAACAGCTCCACCAGGGCTGACCACCTTGTGTACACCTAGACCACCCAGGAAAGCTGGACCCACAGCTGATCTCAATCTTGGCAAAACACCTTATGATCTTCTTGGAACATATAGCATGAGGGGCTGGTAAACTGCTACTAGATATCCATTTCCCTTCTCAAGACCTTTCCTCATTATTTTCTGGGTTCTAATGAGTCTTTCTCACACCATTAGCCCCTTAACAACAAGGTGTTCTACATCATCTGGGTTTGTAGGAAAAAAGCTCAGGGAAAACTGATACCTGTGGCTACTTTTACTGTACTTTCCATATAAGTAACAATTGGTCCAAATCCAAAAGGGAGCTCATTTCTTTACCAGGTAAGTATTTTGTCTTGTCTTGTTACAAAGTACCTCATTCATTCATTCATGGTAAAATAAACAACAACAAAAAAACCTGTACTAACTGGGTGATAAATCATTCAAGCTAAATAAAATGAAGTTATGATTCTTTCTTTTGACATTATTATTTTGTTAGGCGATAGACAAGAAATAAATATTTTCAGGGCAGTATAGAAGTGCTATAATAGAGAAGAACAGAATACCGCCAGGGGCACTTACATGAGGTACTTAGAGGGAAGACACATCCTGCGATGGAGAAAGCAAAGTAACAAAAGTTTTCCCACTGGAAAGAAAGCACAGACCTTCAGATTTGGTGTTATTACCTATCACCCAAGAAGGATATTTCCTGGGTTTTTCTCTATTACTTTGGAACTCTCCCTGTGGGCACTTCACACTGGTTTAAAATTCCATTTTAACTAATATATGCACTGCACCAGGAATCTTTGGTATTTGTGCTGCCGAAGTGAGCACTGTACCAGGAGTCTTTGGATTTTTTTTTTTTTTTTTTTTTTTTTTTTTTTTTTTTTGATCTTTTTGAGATAGGGTCTCACCATGCAGTTCAGGCTGGCCTTGAGCTCACTTTGTAGCCCAGGCTGGTCTCAAACTCCAAATGATCCTCCTGCCTCAGCCTCCCAAGTGCTGGGATTACAGGCATGCACCATGCCTGGCAAGTCTTTGGAATATAAGGGATTAAAAACCTAACCATGGGAAGCATTAACTTCCTGAAAAAACCCTCCATCTTACTTCTAACACACCCTGACTTTTTTTTTTTTTTTTTTTTGGGATTTGTCAGGAAAGGGAACAATGTACCTAGTCATAAGGAAATAACTGTGGTTGACCTAAGATATCCATGACCATTCTGTCTACTCCCTTTGCCTCTCTGGCTAGGAATGGTCATATGATTCAATTCTGGTCATGAGATCTGAGAAAAATAGTCATTTTTTAAAAATACTATTTAGGTCACCAAGTTTGTTCATAATAGGCATAAAATTGTTCATAATATTTCCTTAACATTCTTTAATGTCTATGGCACCTTTACCTTTAGTGATGTCTCCTCTCCCTCTTTTTCTTTCTCTCTCTCTCTTTCCTTCTTTTCAGGCTTATTTAAGGAAGGGGTTTTGACATACTAAAAGTTAAAAATGATTTTTTTGGGTTTTTCTCTGGTACCAGGAACCAAACTCACGACCTTGCTCTTGCCAGGCAGGCGCTTTGCCACTGAGCTAAATCCCCAGCCCCAAAAATGATTTATTATTAATAAAATCAAAAGTGCAAGACTGAATTTATGAATGGCTCCTCTTTCATTCTCAGAATTGGCAATGCTTGGTTTCTCTTTCTTGATCAGTTTTGCTTGAGATTTATTGATTGCATTAATCTTTTAAGAGTCAAATTTTGGCTCTGTTTCTTTAGTAGGATTTTGCTGTTTGAAAAAATTAACATACATTTGACTTTTTTGACATAAGAGTCTATGAATTTTAACACATAGATTTGTGAAACTATCACCAAAAACCACAATACACAATAGTTCCATCACTTCTTAAAACTTTGTGAAGATGTACTCACACCATTCTTACATTTTTAACCCATGGACTCATTGACTTGTTACTAAGTACAATAGTTCTGATTTGTCCAAAATATAATAGAAATGGAACCACAAAGCATGTATTCTCTTTTAAAATTTTTTTCTAAGAGGCATTTCCACTAGGCTTCACAGACATTGCATTCAAAAGTATGTAACCTCTTAAGACTAGTTTTTTTCATTCAGCAAAATGTATTTCAGAGTCATATCAATATCTCATTCCATTTTTTTGCTGAGTAGGGCTCTACTTGTATGTCTCAAAGTTATTTATTCAACCATAGGAAGACAGTTTGTTTGTGAATTTGGAGAATTATGAGTAGAACTACTATAGACAAGTGCTCTACCACCAAGCCACACCCCCAGGCCAAGTAGAACTACTATAAACATGAATGGACAGGTTTTTGTATAAAATATGGTTTTATCACGCTAGAGTAAACATTTAAAAGTAGAATTACTGCGTCATATGGTATGTATATGTTTAATTTTAGAGGAAACTGAAATACTTGGTATATCTGTCTATCCATCTGTCAAACCACATCCTGATTACTATAGCTTTGATAATTGTTAAAATGTACTAGTGTGTGTCCTACAGTTTTGTTCTTTTAAAAAATCTCTTAGTTATCCTAGTTCACTTAGTATGCCATATAACTTTCAGAATCAATGTACCTGTATCTATAAACAATATCCTGCTGGAATTTATATTAGAATTGTATTATACCTATTCATCAGCTTAACAATAATTGGCATGTTAATTCTATTGACTCTTCCTCTCCACAAATACTTTACATCTCTCCATTTATTTTGGTTTTTGATATTCTTCATCTGAATTGTGTAGATTAATATACATATGATGCCTATATTTGGTTTAAGTTATTCTTTTTTCAATTTACTCCTAAGTAATTACTATTTTGGGAGGTATTTTACATGGTGTTTAAGATTAATATCCAGTTTTTCATTACTTATATATAAATACAATTGGTATTGTGCATTGACTTTTTTTATAGACTGTGTTCTGCAAAAATTATGTCCACTTTAAATAAAATTTAAAAAAATTATGTCCAAACTCTAATCCCCAATGCAATGGCATTTGCAAGAAGGGCCTTTGAAAGGTAGTTTGGCCATAGGAATGCAACCTTCATAAAGAAAATTAGAGCTTGTTGTGGTTTGGATATGGAATGCCTCCCAAAGACTCAAGTATTGAAGGCTTGGTTCCCAATGCAGCAATGTTTAGAAGTAGGGCTTTAGTAAAGGGGTTGGGTTGTGAAGGCTTTGATCTGATTAGTGGTTGAATAGATTATTTGGAGGTGGCAGAAATTGTAGGAAGTAGGGCCAACTTGGTGGAAGTGGGTTCCTGGGAACATGTTCTTGGAGGGTATATCTTGTTCCTGGCCTCCTTCTCACTCATTCTCTCCACTTCCTGTCTGCCATTAGGTGAACAGCTTTGCTCCACCACTTGCTCCATGCCATGATATTCTACCTCACCATAAACCCAGAAGCAGTAGAGAGAAATGACTATGGAACAACAAACTTGGAAACTATGAACCAAAATAGCTTTCTCTCCTCCTGTAAGCTGTTTCTTTCCCTCAGGTATTTTGTCACAGTAATGATAAACTAACACAGAACTCTTATGAGAATGTACACAAGAACAATATCCCCCCGACACTTCAGATACAGCAAGAAGGCATCCCTCTGCAAACCAGGAAGAGGGCCCTCATCAGCCACTGAGTCATTTGACATCTTGCTCTTGGACTTTCCAAACTTCAGAACTGTAAAGAATAAAATTCTGGGGGCTGGGGATTTAGCTCAGTGGCAAAAGCGCCTGCCTGGCAAGCGCAAGGTCATGAGTTCGGTTCCCGGTACCAGAGAAAAACCAAAAAA